AGCGAATGCATTCGCTAGCTGGGGAATTCTGGGAGTTGAAGTCCAGACATCTTCAAGTTGCCAAGGTTGAGAAACGCTGCTCTAGACAATTTATATCATTCCTGGCCTTTAATCATAAGCTATCTGAAGTTTCTTAGTCTCATATTTATTTTGAGTATAATCAATCCATTTTTCCAGTCTCTTTTTCCATATCTCTCGTTTGAATAGTCCTTAAGATAGGCAGATATTTTAGCCATCTCAGCTAACTTGGTCACTTTCAGTGTCCATTCTTGAATAGTAGGCAAATCTTCCTTCTTCCAGTATTGCGCCACCAACAGTCTAGCTGCGGTTATTAAATGCAAAATCGGATTAATCTATACAACTGTACAATCAGTGATTATACCTAACAAAAATAATTGAGGGGTAAACTTTTAACTTTTTTTAAGAACATTTTGCATAATCCATCACATTTTTATCGAAAATGCTTTAACCTTTTTGCAAGTCCATGAAGTTTCTGTAGTCTCAGAAACCCTTGTGCAAATTGAGATCCGAGTATATTTCATGGCTCTATAAATTACATATATATATATATACAAATATCGGAGCCGAATTTCTAAAAAAAAAAACCACCAGTTTTGCAAACTCTTGGAGGGGGGAAAAGCACCTTTGAGGCAACCACGAGAATCTCCATAGACTTTTTGTTTTTTTTTTATCATTCTGGTTTTCAAAAACTTGCATGCTTTTTTTTTTAAAAAAAGGGATATTTTTTTATATCATTGCAAAAAAAAAAAAAAAAAGGCCTTAAGTTTAGACGCTCAAAAAAAATAAAAATAAAACGGTCCCGAGTTTGCACGCGCCACCCCGAAAGCTTTTTGTTTTGCACTACCCAATATTAAAATATTTAAAAATATTTAAAAATATTTTTAAAATGACATCATTGCAAAAAAAAAAAAGTTTAAAGACGCTCAAAAAATAAAATAAAACGGCCCCCAGTTTGCACGCGCCACCCCCTAAAGCTTTTTGTTTTGCACTACCCAATATTAAAATATATTAAAATATTTTAAAATATTTTTAAAATGACATCATTGCAAAAAAAAAGTTTAAAGACGCTCAAAAATAATAATAAAACGGCCCCCAGTTTGCACGCGCCACCCCCTAAAGCTTTTTGTTTTGCACTACCCAATATTAAAATATTTTAAAATATTTAAAAATATTTTAAAAATGACATCATTGCAAAAAAAAAAGTTTAAAGACGCTCAAAAAAAAAAAAAACCGGCCCCCAGTTTGCACGCGCCACCCCCTAAAGCCTTTTTTTTTTTTTTTTTTTTGCACTACACAATTTTTAACCGTTTCACCAATTTACGGGTTGCTGGACTTGCTCGGCGAGGAAGGAAGGAAGAACAATCCAACACACAGCCCCGAACCTGGGGTTTTTTTTTTTTTACAAACAAACAGCGGCGGCGCCCTCGGCTACCCCTACGGCCAGCCTCATTTGCAATGGACGTCGCCTCCTCCTCCTCAGTCAACCCAACGGCTTTTCTTTGAATCCAACGGCATCATAAGGTCGCCGCGCGCGGGGTTTGCAACCGGCGCGCAGGGTTTGCAACCGGCGCGAGCGGTTGGTTCCCACTCCAAAGCCCGAACTCGGCAGCAAAGCACGCCCTTCGGGCGCACGCGCAGTCTCCGAACCCAGCCGAAGGGACGCCGCCGCCTCGCGCTGGCCCCTCCCACTTTCCGAGGCCTTTCCCGAGCCGTCGCCAATCAATCTCTCCTCTTCCCCGCCTTCCCCACGGCGGGCTGCTGATTGGCTGCCTCAAGTCCCGGAAGGAAGGAATGTGCTTTTTTTTTTTTTTTTGCTGCCGCTCATTTCCGCGGGAGCCGCCATCTTGTCGGCGGTTGGGTCCGAGCGGCGTCGCTCCGCGTTCAAGCTGGAAGGCTTCTTCTTCAGCCCGTCTTACTCGCGCGGCCTAGTCGCCCGCCCTTTCGGCGCCGGCGACCAACTCTTCTTCGCTGGGGCCGCCATGGCCAACAACTGCCCGCTGGTGGGGCCCGGCAACTGCCACCCGCTGCCGCCTCACCAGTCGCCTCAGCAGCAGCAGCAGCAGCAGCAGAACGCGGGGATCCTGCAACCGCAGCAGAACCCGCAGGCCGCCGTTGGCGCCGTTTTGTCGCCGCCGTCGTCGTTGGCGCTCCAGAGCGCGGGTCCCAAACCGGCCGCCTCGGGCAAGCAAGGCAACGCTCTCCCTCTGTGGGGGAACGAAAAGACGATGAACCTCAACCCCATGATCCTCACCAACATCCTCTCGTCGCCTTACTTCAAGGTGCAGCTTTACGAGCTGAAGACCTACCACGAGGTGGTCGACGAGATCTTCTTCAAGGTGAGGGGAAAATAGGCCCGAGCTGGGGGGGGGACGGACGGGAGGAAACCAGAACGAGCCTCCTCCTCTCTCTTGAGGCCGAGCATTGTGGGCCTTCGAGTTGGGCGGGCCTCCCTTCCCCCCGCTTCCTCCCGCTGGAAGAAATAGGCGAGGAAAGGGCCCGCTATTTCCATTTCCATTTATTGGATTTATAGGCCGCCCAATCCCCGGAGGACTCCGGGCGGCTTACAGAAATTCTTCCTCCTTATCTCGGGAATCAGCCTCGCGCCGGTGTGTTTGTGTGTGCAAAAAAAAAGGGGGGGCATCGATATAATAATACAAGGCGTCGATATAAAACCTAATTCCCGACCCCCATAATTGTGTTTGTTGTGGTATTGGGGGGGGGGAGTATGCGAGAGTCGTGGGGGGGGGGAAACAACGATCCCTGATTCTGTGTCGAAACCTCCCTTTGGAAACGTAAATGAAAAAAAAAGGGAATGGGATGAAAATAAGGTTTAATAATAATAATAACCGTTTCCGTTCCACACCTCTAAAAGTGAGAGTGGATTTTGTAATTTTTGTAATAGATTTGTATGCTGCCTAATCCCGAAGGACTCCTTTATTTTTTTATTTTATTTATTTTACTTTATTTGTATGCCGCCCTTTTCCCTGAAAGGGACTCAGGGCGGCTCACAACTCAAGGGAGGGGAAAAACAGACAAAGTTACAAAACATAAAGACTCCTTTAACAATTAACAATTTTTACTTGACAAGTAACGATTTTACTTTGGTTTTTGTTTTTTCCCCTTCTCCCAGAAACGCCAGGGTAGCTTATATATATTAGAATCTAAATTTTGAAATAGTTGTGAGAAGTAGTTGCCCCATGGAGTAATGACATCACACTGCATGGTTTGCTTAATGGGTGAATGAGTTCCTGGTCTAAAATTCTACATTTTACCAGTATATCATTGTGATTGGCTATTATTTATCCTTTAGTTTTTGTAACTGCTTGTGGGGGGGGGGGGGACCACTGATGAACTTTGTGAGACTTGGTTTTATTTGCATATGGATAAGATTACACTAGTAATGTTAGCATAGATCAGTGTTTCTCATCCTTGGTGACTTTAAGTCCTGTGGACTTCAACTCCCAGAATTCCCCAGCCAGCATAACTTTGTGAGACTTGGTTTTATTTGCATAAAAAAGAAGATCGTGTGCCACTTGGGATATCCACGTTTTCTTTGGGGCATTTCGTGCGATTTTCCATCCCAACAAGCCGCCCTAAACCGGGATCAATGGCGTGCTGTAATCCGTGACGTCCTGCCCCTGGCCTTCACAATGCAACGGTCACTGCCTTATGGACGTTGACATTTACGAAGATTAAGTCCAAGTCCAAGTTTATTTGCATATGGATAAGATTACACTAGTAATGTTAGCATAGATCAGTGTTTCTCATCCTTGGTGACTTTAAGTCCTGTGGACTTCAACTCCCAGAATTCCCCAGCCAGCTATGCTTGGGGAATTCTGGGAGTTGAAGTCCACAGGACTTAAAGTCACCAAGGATGAGAAACACTGGCATAGATACTACCATTCTCTGTTGTAATAATGGCTAGCTGGGCATTGCATCTGCCTGACTTTTGACTTGCCTTGAAAAGCAAAATACAGACATGATTAAAATTTAGATAAATATTTACTGGGAAACACAAAAAATACTAAACTAACATGTGGATTCCATCATGGAGATGCCGCAAAGGTGGCAGCTGTGAACAATGATCACAAGTCACTTTTTTTCAGTGCCGTAACTTTCAGTAGTTACTAAATGGACAGTTGTAAATCAAGGGCTACCTGTACAATGCGAAATTAGGTTTTCACCCTTGAGAAGGTATTCAAAGATTGATTTGCTATTTTTTTTGCCCGTAATGTAATCTAAAAAATCTGATCAGGTGCAAAAAGTATTCTGAACTGCGAGTTAGATAAACCTTTTCATTTTCTATTTTCTGAATGCTTATCCATACCTTCAGAATAGAACTACTGTATTAGCATTACACAGAAGGAATTGCTTCTTAACATTTTCTATTAAATTTCAGTTCTTTTAATTGAATATTGTGAATGTGTGCAATTTATATTTTTAAGTTGCAGGCAACATAAGGGATCGTAAGGTAATCTCTATATTGGAGATCCTAGCTTCTACAGAATTATCTAAACCTACTCCATAAATCTGGATTTGTAGGTGTGTTTGAGGTACTATTAGTCAGAATCACTCTGAATCACTCATTTGTCCTATTCTCACCAGAAAATGCTGGATGTGATAACTAAAGTTGGCAACTTAGATGACACTTATCTTATTGACATACATTATGTGAAAGCCTTGATGGATCAAAGCCCTTATGGGTGACAGAGACAGAGACCCACTTGGTGGTAGTCATATGTTTTTGATTGCACTTGTCAGTAAGAGAGGGGGAAGGTTTATTAAGGTGGGTTTGTGGAATTGATGGATAAATGCATGCATGGAAGTGAAGATGTAGTTTAATTATGAAATTAAAGGGTAAGAGCTATTTCAGAAAGAATGAAGTTAGTATCATTCAGATTGTATGGCTATATATAAAGATACACATTATGTTTCATTTATAGTACAATTGAAAGCACCAGGAATGAGTTTAGAGAAAAAAATACGTGACATTTTAAATGAATGCAAATCAGGAAAAAAAGTCATGAAGTGTTATGAATGAATGTGTGAGAACAAAAACGAATACAAAACTGAGCCATTTGAAAGCCCAATATTGTCATTAGTCTCTGGCAAGTATTTGTATGGAAAAATATTTCTTTTTTTATACATACATGTCGCCCTTGGGATTACAGGTTCATAGAAAGGAACTTTTTTATAGTAAAGTAATCCATATATAGTTAATCCTTGATGTATGATCAAAATTGAGCCTAGCAATTATGATCGTGATTTTTGATAAGAAAGACAGGTCATTACATAACTAAGTTACATAACTAATTTTATTTACCTTTTTTTGCAATAGTTGTAAAGTGAACCCATTGTTCGCTATAAGCAGTTTTTTCCAGAAATCAGTTTCTGGCAAAAATGTAAATCATGGTTCGTTGGAAGACTACCAATAAATCTAAAAACATGTATCATGTTTATCATCTTTTTATGATAAAAAGTTTGAGGAAATCAGTGAAGGGAAGAAGTGTGATGAAAGTTTCTGATTGTCGGATATGTCATTTTTAGGTAGTGTCGGGTTGCCTTTGAGGGAAAATGGACATTAAAAAGGGCAAATGAAAGAATAACTGGAGGAAGAAAAAATACAAGTCCTTTATGACAAACTGTTAGAAAATAAATTAGTCATCCCACAGGATAAATGGAAAATCGGTGTAAGCAATTTTGAATACAGTTAAAATAATTGCAATATAGTGTGTCATAGAAGCACGTAGAGTTATTTTAATAGGAAAAAGGAGACTTGGTAGAAAGCTGAAGTGAAAGATGCTGTAGATACAGAAAAAAAATGATACAAAAATGCTGCAAAATTGGGCTGAAGCAAAAGTGGAATGCTGGAAGAAGAATTTATAATTTGTATTGCAGTGATAATAAATAATAAAATTTAAACAAATATAATAAATTTTAATGTCCGACATGATGAAAAGGAGAATGCGAAATACTGAAAAATGGTAAGGCCGAAGTCTTAGATGACATAGTTAGAGAAATGTTTAAACACTGGTGTAGTTTACTGATCATTTGTTTGTATGATTTCCTTAAAGTGTGCTTGAAGACTATCTCTGACCTTGACAATTGGAAGAATTTATTGATTAAATTTATAGGCTACCCATCTCACCTTCAAAAGAAGTTCTGGGTGGAAGAATTTACCATACTGTATACAATGGGAAGTATAACAAAAGTGTATGCAAAAACTACAGAAAGATTTTGTTATATATCACTGGGAAGGTGCTTGGCAGGATTCTAATTGAAAGATTCTTAAGGTGACAATAAGAAAAAAATTCAGAAATGTGGATGCTGCTTTTCAACAGGTCATTGAGAAATACATGAACTCAACAGTATATTATATATGTGTTGATTTAGAAATGCGTATGATAAATAAAATAAGCCTGAATTATGAAATGTTCTAGACCAGTGGTGGCTAACCTTTTTTGACTCCTGTGCCCAGAGGGGGGGGGGTCGTGCACGGGCGTGCTACACCCATACTATGCGACCAATACACACACGCACATGCTTTTGGGATGCTTTTTTCACCCTCCCAGGGCTCCAGAGACTTTTTAGGAGCCTGGGGAGGGTGAAAATGGC